CTTCCGACCCTTAATCTATGAAACTATGAAACTATGAAAACAGATGAGTAGCCTCATGGAAGTCATTGTAGGCTATTTGTCCATATCAACTCGCCTCCCTCCATAAAGGCAAGATTTTAAGCTGGGCCAGCTTGAGCACAGGGATGCACCAAAACAGCTAGGTAGTAGCCAGGACAGGAACAGCAGGTTAGAAGTGAACACTTTGGTAGAGGTAGGCACATGTGTAAAAGAGTTAAATTTGTGCAGGATTTGCCATCATTATGGCCTGCTGTAGCTACAAGTATCAACTCATCAGGTACACTCTAGTTTGGCAAAGTTTTAAAACAAGTCTTTAAGTTCATCCCTATTGAGCAAAGCACTTAAGCATAATCTAAATTTTAAGTGTGTGCTTGTGCCTCGTTGACTTGAATAGGATTTAAGCATTTGCTGAATGGTCTGAATAGGGATGGGCTGCTAAACTGGGGTCTTACATGGACAACAAATTCACCCGCTAAATACAGCTAAACCTGCTAGCAGTAAAGCTGAGCTCTCTTGCTGCACAGAAGAAATTCTACCTCCCACACCATCCAGCTTCAGCCATTTTGTAATGACTTTCCTTCTTAAGCAGGGCCCAGAAGTATTCAGATGCCACAGCCCAATCACTGGCCCAAAGATTCACCTTCAATATCAAGTTGAGGATCAGTTTTGCTCTTCCTCTTTTGAACTCCTTCCTCCTCTTCCTTACCTCTCTGTCATAGCGATCTGTTCCAGCATGGCCGACCCCGTGTTTGCCTTCCAGTTTCCAGAGATGGATGTTCTCCTGGGAACAATAAGCCGATCACAGGGTGAAAATCTAACTCTGTGGGAGTTGTAGTTTTCAATTCTGACTCTCTGCCTCACTTCTAGGAAATCGGGTGGGGGCCTTCACAAGGACTTTCCTTTTCAAATCCTAGACACAATGCTCCCTGAAAATCTGGGGGCCTGGAAAATGACAGACTCAAACTGAGAGCTAGGAACTGAAAAGTTTGAAGCATCTTGAGTCTGCAGCAGGAGGGGAAATCTGTAATGGCCCTCCGTTACCAAATCTCTCCTTTTTCACCCATCAGGCCATGGGAAGCAGAAGTGTGTGTAAAAAGGCCTCTGGAATGATTAACCCTGTGCTCTGTACTGTACAATACCCACTGGAGGTTTAACTCTGTGTGCCAAGATGTGATTGAAAAGCTGCATAAAAGCCACATATGAAATACTAAGTTTCTTTAGGTTGGTTTCAATTGTGGCCAGACCTGGAGAGACTGTCCGGGCACACCTTTTTTTACCTGCTCTGGAATCGACTCACCAGCTTCTCTCTCAAAGCTTTTTAGAACTGTAAACTGGTTTAAGTGTTTATTTTGTTGTAATTGGCCCTTAATATCAACAGAAGATATTACTGCTTGTCTTCACCCTTGTCTGTCAAGTACCCAGTTAATTCACTTCATTGCACTTAAGTAGAGGGCGGACCTTATAGAGCAAAGACAGGGAATTATTTTGGGCGGAGGGCTGCTTACTGAGTTTTGGCAAGCCATTGAGGGCCACATGACAGGCAGCCAGGGGCAGATAAATATTAATTTTCTAAATTTTTTAGGGGCCCCACGGACTGGATAGAATGGCCTGGCGGGCCGCATCTGGCCCCCGGGCCGCATTTTGCCCACTCCTGTTATAGAGCAGGTAGTGTTACCACTTTGTGCTGCAAATCTGTGAGATCTTGCAAGCTGGGCCACGTTCGTATGCTATGACATAAGAGTGGGGGGGTGAGTGTGTGCTGGGGCACCTGCATCCCCCTTTGATTCCTAGTCCACCCAAAATTTAAAACCAACTGCCTGGCAATGACAGCAGCATTTCTAGCTAGGCAGTGCTGAGGAAGTCACTTGACTTCATGGCTTATTATAACTACTTGCTCCCTTCAGAATTCTTTATTCTCTTAACAACCTTTTCCTTTGCAATGGTCTTGATGTTCCACCAATCAAGCTATCTTCTGGTCTGCAATTCTGCTGTCTGTAAGCTGCTCCTGGTAAATGAAGCTCCTATTTCACAGCCCTACAGATTGTTTTTAATTAATTCCAAATTAAGTTATATTTGTTTTTGCTTCTCTTAAACTGAATAATAGAGCACCAGTCCCCTAGCATATTAGTAAAGCTTCTAGTTTATTTTGAGGGAAAATATATATGGTTTTATATATGGTGATGCACCTCACCATCTGCATACTCCTTTTCAAAATTCTAGATCTGCCCATGATAAGATGCCTCCATCAACGTTGGCTTCTCTATGGTGTACTTGAGAGCCTTATAGTGGAGAAAGTGGGTGTAACAATTCAGTGTGCAGTGTTCTTTTCTCTGAACCAGTAAAGACCCAGTGTTTCACCATGCTGCCAGTTGCATCACCTTTACAACTGGATGGAGAAAAGAGGCTTCAATCACCTTTCATCATCACAGATCACCTGACACTAAAATGTTAACACTTATGTACCAGCTAAATTCAAGACAGGGGGCATTATATTTTGCCTACCTAAAATTTCTTCAGAATGTGTCATTTGGCCTCCCTTCTAGCCTAGTACTGAAAAGTTATTTCTGTACATGGGTTATGAAGTGTCTTGGAGGAACACTCTGTATAAGTGGTAGATATTATCATTACATGCCCTACTATTGGTTATCACTTCCTTTGGTCTTATCCCCATCAATATTTACCAAGATGCTGGGCTACTGGGATCCTTGGAATATGGAATTTAAACAGACCTAGTCTATAAGAAACCATAGTGGCTTATAAGGAAATTCCATCTGGGGGAGCTCCAAAGATGACAATTTTGCTCCAGTGACTGGTTTACCTATTTTGACTGCTTGCGCTATCCTGATGATCTAGGTGCTTTACATGTAACAAAGCAAACATTCCAGCCAAATATAAAATACATTCTGACCATCCCAATAGGAAACTTCCTCAAAATTCATCCTAACCATTCACATACAGGCAACCCTTGTTTCGCACTCTTAATTGGTTCCTGAAAAAACGAGTGTTAAGTGAAATGAGCGTTAAGCGAAACCAAAAAGTTTTTGACGACCCAGAAGATCTACTAGGTCCCTTCCGACCCTTAATCTATGAATGAATCTATGAATAAAAACCCAAGATGGTGACTGCAAGTGTTTTTAATGACCCAAGAGGGTGACTGCGAACGTTATAATGAAACTTGCTGAGTGCTAAGTGGAATCAGGTATCAATTTAAAATGAGCGTTATAGCGAAACGGCATTAAGCAGGGGTTGCCTGTATTTTATATGACAGCCTCCATCAAACTCATTTCCTTCCCAGTATGGAAAAGCAGTTGAATCTTGCAGCGTGGAACCCAGTGAAGCCTTTCGCAAACTAAGGTGGAAAGCGTGTTTAAGAGCCAAGGTCCCCTGAATGAGTAGACCCTGCCACTAGCCCTCTCCTGTTTACACCAGGAGCTCATAATTTGGGTGTCTTCATGGATCTTAACTGCAAAGGGTAACACAAGTACAGAGGTAGCCTCTTGAGTACAAGGAACCAAGACTTTTTGGGGCCTTATAGGTCAAATGCAAACACTTTAAACAATATTTGCAAATCAACTAATTTGGCTGGGGTGATATGACCGCAGCACCCATTCCTGCCCGGGGCAGGGGGTTGGACCTGATGATCTGCTTAGGTCCCTTCCAACCCTAAGCACTATGAAACTATGAAACTATGCGGTGCATGAAATCACCTCTTAATTGGGCCGTTTTTTTCTACGCTAGCTCCAATTTGTGGATGGTTAGAAGTTGTAGCCCCATGCATAGCATGCAGTAGTAATCCAACTCTGGCAAGTGCTGCTGGGTGAGGCTCTCAGAAGCTGCTGACAGTCCAACACTAACCTCAGAGATGGCAAGCATCGATAAACAGGACAAACATCCCATCACCCCCTTATAAGTGAGGGTGTTACATAACTTCTGGTATTTTTTCAGTTACTTCCCAGGATAAATAAGTATTAGTTGAGTCTTTTCTGTTCACATATGTCCCATGGCTAGTTACCTGTCGTTGTCAGGGTTACTTTAGGCCTGGGCTAAATAAGCGTTGACTGTTAGCATAAAACTGGAGTCATTCCATCAAAGTCAATGAGAATTTCTACTTGATTCCTAGGTCATGGGTAAAAGGAAGTATTTGCAACATCTGGGGTGGGAGGAGTGAGTGGGATTCTTGGTAAACACATTCTAGAGGGAATTTTGGACATCGTTCTCCCTTAGGAGGAAGGGAATTTGCAGTGTGTGTGGGGGTGTGTGGGGGTGTATGTGGGCGTGTGGGAGGGAGTATAAAAATGCTGGGACAAACTCCATAGCTGTCTGATCAAATAAGCGGTCTCTCTGACTGACATTAGAATAGACACTGTAGTTCTCTGATTTAAAAGCCACAGCTTTCCAGAATGTCTAGCAATTTTGGATACCTTACTTGACATGCCTTCAAGGGCCCACATTTCTAGTGACTGTGAGCTCTCAGCATTCCCATTTGACATAACATGGGCTTGTTTAACCCACAGTTAGATCTGTTTTCTGTCTGATGCTGGGATAAATTCCATTGCCAGATACTTTTTAGTTCATATGAAAAGTAACTCAGATTGGTTCTCCCAAACACATTTCCAGTACTGGCTCCATGAATTCAAGTGAACTCTTTTGTGGCAAACAATGTTTTCAGTGAGTGTGGCCATTTTCTCTCTTCACTTACAGCCTTCGATTTTCATGAATTTATTTATAACTGCTTGGCATATGTTTCAGATTTCATTTACCAATAATTCCTTGCAAATGGTACTCCCATGTGGGATTAGCTATTAGTGTGAATATTTGGCTTAGTCACGTAGTATTGTTTCTGTTCCCTATCTGGATGAGTGTATGGTAACTGTGGGTAAGATCAGTAAGATGTAATCAAAGCAACTAGGCTTTTGAGGCTGAGAATGATTTGTGCAGCCAGGATTAGGCAAACTGGCAGAATCAGGCAGGGTTCGAATGACACTTTGAGTCTTGGCGTAGTCTGTAAAAAAAAATATCACGATGCCCTAATAAAACAAGAGATCCCCCCCAGGTTATGATTTTCAAATCTTGAGGGCGGGCTCTCATCTCTTATGTGGGGGGGCTCAGCCTCCCCCCCCCCAACTCCCCTGTAATTCGAACCCTGGGATTAGGGAATTTTAAAAGACATTTTAAACCTTCTCGTTTTTTAATCATTTGAGTCAGGCATTGCCCAAGACATCAGTGCTAGAAAAACTAGGCAATTATATCATTATAGACATGAGTCAAATTAAAAATTGATTTTCTCCTATTGGCTTGGGTCAAAGCAATGATATGTGCCATAAAACCCTGACCACAAAGAATTTGCCTAGATCTTTGGTTTATTTAAATGCATCTGTGTTAGGAGTCTGGCCAGGAATTTCGAGAAGTTCTAGTTGCAAAATATATGATTCCATGCATTACTGATCCAAAACTAGCAATATGGCTGTTCCTAAGCAATTTGTGGCATTGTTTCAATAAGACCATACAGACACACCAGTACTTACCATTACTGACCAGGGCAAGTTTTTATGGATCAGCTGGGTTATTTGGCTTTTCCTATCTACAAGCAGTTGGTGTTTCATTTACTTACTTAACTGCATTTTTAATTAAAGTCAAAGGCTACGAAATTTAAGGTAAGTGCTTTTTAATTTCTGTTAACAATAAATAAATGTGCCAGCAATACTTATTGACTTCACTGTTGCGCTGCCTATTGCTATTTACCCCAGTCACTTGTCACAACCAAACAAGAAACTGCGGCTTAAATGCATGTTCTTAAGGGAGGATGGAGGCCAAAAACGGTGTAGAACTTCAATCCAGAGTTGTGGCTAGGGAGGTTACATGCCCAGCAGGTAATGTTCAGCATTGATCTAAGCAACCTCTGTAGTCTCCACTCACCATTTATGTTGCATGCCTGTACTAACTACTTTAACTTGAGAAAATAGCCCGTCAGAGGTGAGAGTCAACGATGCCAGCCTTCATTGTCCCCTTGTTCAATTTTCAGTCACTTGGATGCCTTCTCTTGTGCTGACCATTCTATAGGGAAATGCTCCCTTGTAAACTTCTATGAACTACAGTACCTCACTTTCCTCTCCTTCAAGTCCCTCATACAAACACTCCTTTCTGTGATGCTTACAAAAGCTTGACACTGGTTAAGCAGCTGGCACAGTGAGACTACTGCCTGTCATGCTAACCAATGCTGGTTTCATTGTTGCCATGTAACCCTCCCCCTTCTATCTGTGTGTAGCCACCTGTGATCTCTTGTTTTAGACTGTACATTCTTTCAGGCAGGGACTGGCTTTTGATCTGTGCTTTTATAGCACCTAGTACTGCTGGGTTCTTATCTTCAAGGTTTTTAAGTAATATGGCCATACAAATAAAGGACAATAATGTAACAACATACCACTTCTGTGCCTATTCTTAACATGGTAGCTGTTACTTAGCTTCAGTGCCATGAATAATTTCCAAGGGGATTAGAGCTGAAGACTCTTTGGGTGGCACATGGCTTATGCAAAGCACTTGGCCTCACCTTTGTATTTAATGCTTCACTTGACATTGGAAGACTGTGGTTACTGTTGCCACTAGAGGGAGCTGAAAGATGGAGGATTTGTCAAAGTGATCAGGCGAATTGAGACCTTTTAGAAAATGAGACTCCAAAATGATAAATAGTGGAGTAAAACTTATCTTCTGGCCAGTGCCCAAAGCAGAGATCAAAGACGGGTAGAAGAAGATTTACACTCAGGGAACAAGGCACGGGTAGCGAGTTAGCAAAAGCTGCTCTGTGGGCAAAGGGATCAGAATGCAGAAGAGGAGAAAGCATGCCAGGCCTGTTCTTCAGGGAACTTAAATCAGTCTCCTATTCCTAACCAAGACAGATATTAACAAAATCACTTGTAAAAATGTCTCCCTCTTTCCCCAGCCCAGCTGCAGAGACCACACACTCACATGTAAGCCTTGTAATTGTTGCCAATTTTCTGGATACGGATGTCGTACTTGGAATCGATGAACGGCTCGGTAGTGGCGTAGGTTTTTGCCATGGCTACAACACTGGCCATGTCCTGGAAGTCATACTGGTTCTCAACTTTTACCTTCCATTGTCAGAGTCCAGCCAAAGAGCGATGAGCACAAAGGGAACAGGAATATGTGTGAGGAAGTGTTATCTCAGTGCATGGACAGTAGAGCACAATTGCAATTCAAAATTAGGGAGAGGGAGACTGAAGTACGGACTGAGGTGTCTAGAAGGAGGCTTCCTTCCCACAAACCTTTCACATAGCCAGCTGACGTACCTCTCTCCCACACGTGCAAGCCCCAAGGTATCTGTTATTCGTGAGAACACAAATCTAAGACCAAAGGGTCATGCGCAGCTTTGCTCCTAGGGTTCTTGCTAATTTTCAAGACAGAAAACCAATTGATATGCTCTGATAATTTGTAGCAAAACATGGTACAGACATTGAACTTACTTTTCCCTTTCATTTATAATTTTAAATCAGAAGCAACCAGGAAATAGTCCTGAATATTTATATCAGAAAATAAAGAAACGAGGTTTTCCTGCCATTCCTGGTCTCCAGATTCCTAGTGATTTACAAAGCCTGAACCTTGCCTCACGCAGAGGAATAGCATGGGACTCTTGGCTAGAAAACTACAGAGATGATGTTCCTGCTGGAGATCATGTATGGGGGACAGTGCAAGTCTGATATCATGGGAGTATGTGTGTGGGAGGTTGGCTCGAGTCTATAGGAACTGTGCTAGGATGACACAAGAGGTCCATAACCTAATGCTGGAGATTTCCTGGAACATTAGCGTTTCACAGCTTTCTGTGTGTTTACTAAAAATACACTGGATCCTCTGGTTCTTGCAAAAAAATGCTAAAAAAAGAAAAGCCTAAGAAG